CTCTTTCCCCTTTCCCAGAGAGGAAGGCTTAAATTCCCTTTATGTAGGAAAAGTAAGGTCAGTGCTGACCAAACTGCTGTAGACCAAAATGCATCAGTTCATAGAATAATTTAGAGTTTGTGTTGAGATGAAGGATGTGTACTCTATTAAGTTCATAAATCACTTAATTCAGTCAAAGACCTGGAGAGTAATGACCAACCTTCACTGTTAGCAGTTTTGTTTCTTATGTTCAAGGAACAGACTGGCATTTTAAAGATACCCAAACATAATACTATTGAATTCTGTGAGTTTTTCTGTTTTGTTGATTAAGTACATTCATTCAGTAAATATTTAGTAAGAAGAATACAAAGATGAAGAAGATAAAGATCCTGCCTCAAGTAAGTGATTGTCTATTAGGAAAGATAGAACATAAAAAATAAGAAAATAAGTGCCTGGAGAGAGATGTAAAAGAGCCATGGATTCTCAGAGTGGCTAAGAGAAACTAGCAAATGTTTCATGGAGAAGATAGTGTATAACCTGAGCCTTGGATAAAAAATGGACATGTGGAGGGAGAGTACATTCTAGGCAGATTTAACCACATGAACAAGTTACAGAAAGCTATAGGCAACATACATAGAAAAAGAACAGCAAGTAGTCAATTAGCTGGAATGTGTGTAATAAGTGAAAAGGTTGATTGAATGCCATAATTGTAGAAGGTCTTGAATTCCATGCTGAGGAATTTTTTTCTACTTTCTTGTGTAGAAAATGAGGAATCATTGAAAGTTTTAAGCAGTAAAATTACAAGAAGGTCATAGTATTTTAGGAAGATTAATTTGGAAACTAAGAGTAGGAAAGACAGAGGATGAGGAGGAAACTAGAGACCCATGGCATTATAATTGAATTTAATGATTGGGGACCCTGAGAGATCCATGCTGAGCCATGTATACATAGATACACAGGGAGGCATTAGAGGTGTTTGTGTACTTTTTCACTTTGTATTATTATTTGCCTCATTGTACATTCTGTTTTATAAGCTGCATTTTGTAGTCTATGATAAAAACATCTTATAGTCTTAAATATATAATCATTCATTCATTGAACAAATATTAATTGAAAGGTAAGATTGGCTGGATTTGAATATTTCCCTCTTACTATTTTTATGAATTTAGGCAGATTAGTTAACCTCTTTGTCAGTTTCCAGAGCTCACTGGCCATTTATATATTTCTGTTTGTGAATTGCCAGTTCATATTCTTTGCAAGGATTATATCTGTATAATTAAGGATATTGACCATTTTCTAATATTATATATTTGCAAAATATATTTTCCTCTATTTGATATTTTTGTTTTATATTATTCAGAGTGTTTTGTTGTATAAAACTTTTTTTTTTTACTTTTATATAGTCAAAGTTACCAGTGATTTCTGCCTTTGATGTCATGCTTAGAAAGTTCTTTCCCAGTCAAGAATATATAAATACTAACCTCTATTTTTGCCTTTATTTTTAGGACTTGTATTTAAAGTTATATATTTATAATCTATCAAAATTTTATTTTGGTGTAAACTGTGCAGTAGTTTCCTTTTATAAACTTTACAGAAATATTACATTGTACATACTTCATTACATACAGAAAAGTATCCAAATGCTAAGCAATGAAATAGCACAAAATGAATACATCTATGTAACCACCACACAGATCAAATAATAGAATGTTACCAGTATCTCTAGAAGCCTCCCTTATTCCTCATGTTCCCTCCTTTGCACAACTCCGCACAAAATAATAACTATTATGACTTCTGTTATTATATATTAGTTTTACCTGTCCGTATAAGGTAATTGTTGAATGAATGAAGAAACAGTGGTTAAAATTAATCTATTTCTGCCTTTCTCACAAACAGATCCTTAGAAGAATCTCTAATCACCTTACTCCCAACTTACAAGCTATCATTGTCCAGCATATTGGTTCCACTTTGTTTTTATAATCCCCAAATGAATCATTATTATTTTCAATAGTCAATATTTGTTTAGATTTACCTACATATTTACCTCTCCCCCCTCTTCATCCTGGCCCTTCTTTCTGATCCAGTATTCTTCTTACTAAAGAACCTCTTTTAGTAGTTCTTTCAGGTTCTGGTCAACTTGACGTTTTTGTCTAAAAATATATTAGTTTAGCTAAGTTTAGAATTTCAGGTTGATAGTTTTTTTCAGCACTTAGAAATCAGAAAACAGTGGAATACTGGTACTTCCCTGGCAGTCCAGTGGTTAAGACTACGTGCTTCCACTGCAGGGGGGTGTGGGTTCTATCCCTGGGGAGCTAAGATCCCGAATGCCAGTACCGTGTGGCCCCATCCCCCAAAAAAAGAAGACAAGGGAATACTATTTTCAATTGTTGCTTCTTAGTAGACTTCTTAATGAAGTCTACTCTCGATACAATTGTTTTTCATCTGTAGGCAATATTCTCTTCTCTGGCTCTTTTTAAGATTATCTTTTTGTCTTCGGTGTTCTTGTTTCAGTATTATGTATCTAAATGTTGATTTATTTTTATTTATGTTACTTAGTATGAAAATACATGTTTGGCATAATTTCTGGAAATTTTCCAGTCATTATTTCTTTGAATATTGCATTTTTTTCCCAATTATTCTGTTCTCTCCTTCTGGAACTCCTGGGAGCCATATGTTAGGCATTTATCTATTTTCATGTCTCTTAACCTCTTATTTATATTATCCACCTGTTATCTCTCTGTGCTGCCTTCTGTGTAATTTTTTTCACATTAGTTTTTCAGTTCAGTAATTCTCTCTTCATCTATGTATAATCTGTGTTTAATTTGTACATTCAGTTTTTAATTTTAAAGGTAATATTTTTATGCCTGTAATTTCTATTTGCTGCTTTTTCAAATTGGCCTGATTTTTCATTAATTTCTTCTCTTCTCATGTTTTCAAATCCTTTTCAGATTTTTCTTTAACCACATTAATTCTATAATCTGAAGTACTTGGAGGTCTAATTCTGCTGTTGTGTCTGCTGACATTAGCTCCTGATGGCTCATTTCTGCATGTAATTTTGTATTACGAGTTATCTTAAAGAAGACTCACAGGACTCATGAGGAGCCTAAGTTGAAGATACATCTCTTCTGCATAGTTTGTCTTTCATTTAGGCCAGGTACCCAAAGAGTATTATCAGTCCAGAACTTTTTTTAATGTTAATTTCTGTACTGAAGGGTTCCTGAACCATGCAGAGCTTATACTGGTTTATTTTCAAGTTTCCTTGTGATCTTCCTGTGCAGAGAGGAGATTTTTGTTTTTCTATTCTCTCTTTTCAGTGAGGGCCTCTACATTATGCGAGAGTCTTAATTCTAATTCCGTTTCTTACTGAGGCCTAAGCCCTGTGTCCTGACCCTCTGCGGCTGTTAAAATACAGTGCCCTTGTTTATGAACATTGCCATATACCTGTTGGGTAGTTGCAAGCATTGGTTTATACTTATCAACCTAAATTTTGGTTCCCTTTTCGTGATGACTCTTGGAGATTTCCCTTAATTTCTTAAGAGGTTAAGCTATTCATCTAAAAGTATGTATGTCATTTTTTATCCAGCATTTCTATGTGTTTTATTCAATTTCGCCTTATCTAGTTGGCCTTGATTTCAGAAATCGAAGTATAAGTGTGGTTATGATCTTGGAAAAGTTTAAAATGGTAGTGACATTATGCGAAGTTTACTCTAATTTGAAAACTCTTAGGTAGTATTTGGAAGCTTAACCGTGCATCCTAAAATGTCAGACTGAGGATTTTGTACGTAATTCAGTAGTCTGTGGGGTACCATTGAATAATTTTGAGCACAGAGTGACACAATACTATCACAACTATTTTATGCAAGTTTCTCCCTTTGTTCCTGCTGCTGCTAATAAAAATAATCATAATAGGGCTTCCCTGGTGGCGCAGTGGTTGAGAGTCTGCCTGCTGATGCAGGGGACACGGGTTCGTGCCCTGGTCCAGGAAGATCCCACATGCCACGGAGCAGCTGGGCCCGTGAGCCATAGCCACTGAGCCTGCGCATCCGGAGCCTGTGCTCTGCAACGGGAGAGCCCACAACAGTGAGAGGCCCACGTACCGCAAAAAATAATAATCATAATCATAATAAATATTTATTGAGCATCTACTATGTGCTAGGCACTTTACTAAGTACTTTACATATATTAAGTCATTTAAACCTCATATAAGGTATGTACTATTATCTCCACTCTGTATATGGAAACTGAGGCAGAGAGATTAAATAACTTGCCCAAGTAAACATGGCTACTAAGAGATAGAGCCAAGACTCAAAGCCAGAGTCCATGCTTTTAATCACTGTGCATTTCCTTCACAAGTATTACTTGAATGCCTGATGCTGTAATGTTCTCTAAATAATATTTAATAATTTAGTGTTCAAAATGTTTTATTACTAGATAGCCATAATGGATTTTATTTTCTTAATCTAAATGAGTTCTCTCATGAATGTATATATAATTATCTGCTTTTAAATAGGCTTTAATATCAGAATTCACAAAGACGAATTGACTTTTAAATGATCTTTCTGAGAGTTAATATTTCCCATTGAGTATTTGTAGCCCCATGGCCCATACTTAAGAACTATAGCATTTTCTCTTTAACTTGAAACATTAGACGTTTAAAACTAAACATCTGTATCTCAATTTTGAAAATACTTTGGATTTAGATGGAAAGATTGGCAAAGATTTTTATATATTTCTTTGTAATTTAGTCATATTACATACAAATAAAAATGCATATATTTTCAGGTGTGTTTGGCTAATTAATAGTACTGTGAATAAAACTGCATTTTACTATTAAAAATGGGGGGGGGAACCTAAACATCTAGGTTTTTCCTTAAATTAGTGTCCCAGGTCCTAAGAAAATAATCTTTAATGTAAAATTAAGAAAGGCAGAAAAAGAAAAAAAAGTAAGGCAGCTTTGTAAAA